TCTCTTAATCATATCAAACTGTGCCCCCGGAGGCCAGTTTGTCGGCGATGTGAAAGGCAGATGCTTCAAAACTGCATGCACCGAAATACCTGCCTCTGATTTTGCTATTATCTCTGAAAGCCGGGGTATTGGTACTGCGTTAGTATGACCTTCGTACTCAACCGTCACCATCAAATCTTTTTGTGGAAACGCTAAGAAAATGATGGGGCCTAGCACGCTTCCTTGAACGACCCTACTAGTTGTCAGTAGTGGAATGATTGTATGTCCCCGATTTGCGTTATCTGCGTCCTGTCCGATAAGTAGGTGGCGAACCACTGAAATAAGGTTCCAGTGATGCCAGCGGCACTAACGTTATGTAGCAGAAAAGCATGGGGGACTTGATCAATTGCTTTTGAATGTCAAGATTCTTCGTTATAATGGGGTATTCAGCGCCGTAGACTTCTGTGGCGGTTTCAAAGAAGTAATTTGTTAGACATTAACAGATCTCTGAAGTAAGAATCCGTACCGTCGGCCATCTATGGCGTTTGTAGCCAGAAGAAACCTGTTTAACGAGCCCTTGATCAGACGTTCAAGGGTTCGCATTAAAAGAGTGATATGATATGTCTCTCTGTAATTGGTAGTAGTTTGCATGGATCCGGATTTAAATTGAGGGCAAACAACAGGTTGTTCCCGCTCGGAGGAGGCAATTCCAGAGTTGACTGAGTGATTAAGAAGACATAAGACAAAGGTTCCGACATCTTGACCGCCATGTTACAGGACATGTGATGGTATGCCGTCACTCACCGGCACGGCCGAGTCTTTGAGGGTTTGAAGAAGGGCTGATACGTCAGCTAGAGAGATGATTAAGTTGCTGACAGACGGGCGGCTACTCTGTTGTAGAGATGTGAAATCTGCAGCGGAGTTTATAGGATTGAACTTGGCAGGAAGGGGCGAATAGCAGCTGACAAAGTAAGTTATCAAGTGAACGGCTATATTGATAGGATGTGATAAAGCTGCCGTCGGCGGAGCGCAGACGAGTGACTTGGTGACAGTTCGTAGTGCAGCACCTGTGAAATAGGCGGCCGAGTAATTTACAGCTGGAAGGGTCTCGGAGAGTGGTGATCTCTTTTCGGTATTCGAGGAATACCCGTATGGACTCTCGGTCAGTTGAAAACTTGTCGATGAGGCGTGTTAATGAGAAATCCCGAGATTTCCGATATCCTTTGCCGCCTTGGTGCATTTTGTTGCCCAAGATTTTCAATAACTTATCATACCGACAGATACCAGGGTAAAAAGTTGTGATTGGAGAAGCAAGGCGGAGAAATGTCAATAGGTTCTGGTAGAAGATATCACCAATTCGTTGCGTATCTGACGAGAGAAAGAAGTCGTTCTAGTCCCGGGAGGCCAGCAAGGATGAAAAAACAGCAAAATATCCGGAGTCAGGAGGAACAGTTTTGCTAAACCTGACTGCGTTGCACTAAACGACGCAGTGACCGCTATCTGGGAAGCATGGACTAACTGCAGTCGTAACGAGATGACCCTCACATGAAAATATTGGGTCTAAGGTGTGTTGGCCATGAGTGGGACTGCGTACAATCTTGGACCAACCCTCCACACCAAGTTAAGAAAGTAGCAAGGCGTTACGAGTAGGGTCCGAAATAAGAGACCAGGAAATATCCCATAGGTTGAAGGCAACCAGCACGAATTTAAAGGAGTGAGGGAGGGCACGTGCATTGGAGATAATACGGGGTACGAGATAATACGGTTGTAAAAGCGGAAGAGGGGGCGGTGGTAAATAGATACAACCTACTGGTGCAAGTCGTTTGGTCTGTTCTATGAAGATATAAATATCCCCTGGAATCCCTTCTAGACTGGTATCATCAATTTAAGCAGAGTAATGCCCTCTCTGAACAAAAAGGTGTTTTGGTTCTCTCGACTAAGCCACTTTTACAGAGCGAGGTTAAAGAGTCGTGAAGTTCCGGTTGGTGATGTTAACAATCACACCAAAACGGGGAAGAAAACTGATGCCCATACTGGGCCCACCTACAACGGTAATGGTAAAAATCCATTGGTTTGCTAGGCGCGGACCATGACCGGATGTGATTTGACCCTCAGTACACGTTTATATGTGTGCTATTTACCGTTTTCGAGCTGGCATTCCTTGGCTTCGATCAATTGTTCTCAAGTGTGCGTGATGCAATCTGTTTTTGGTGACAACCATAATTAAGAACTTCACTTCTGCCGAGTTATCATGTTCGCGAGAGTAGTGACACTGAAGACGAGGATTGCAGTCGCCGTCTAAACAGCAGGCCTATTTTCCTTTTTGGTTGTCAACCAAAGGCTTTGGATAAAGGACCATACGCGGTAAATTTTCTGGAGTTGGCGTTAGTAACAACCAACGGGCTTAAAATGCGGACTGAGTAAGCGAATGACCTAGGACGTTGCTTCAGGGAACAATCCCGAAACAGAATGGTATCACAGCGATAATCTTAGCAAGTACTATCCACTGTGGCACCCGCCGTTTTATGGCGTACATGCGGCTCAGTGTAGCATTCATGCGGAAGATTGTAGACATATGCTATCCGGCCAATAACCTCTCGTAATAATTTAATCGGTTTATTCAGCAAGTACAAACATTGTTTGAATCAAGAGGAAAATGTTAACGCCGTAGTTTGTGCAACGTACTCCGAGGTTTGTTGTTCTTCGCAGAGAAATGCGTGTGACTAAGCACTTCCGGGGGCGAAGTTTTGTCTCCTATTCAGCGCTTGACAATGCACGGTAGAATCGCATAGCGTAAAATACAGCAATGCGGGTCATCAACCCCCTCCATGGCGTGGAAATTTCGTTGGCATTGGAAAGGACATATCAAGGACACTCGGCGCTTCAATAGAAAACAAGGGTATCTGTGAAAGAGATGTCCTAAAAACTGGAAGAAAAAACATTCAGGTTGGCGGGCCAACCTAATGGGTTTGAGGAATCACGTGAGAATAGCTCGAATGATGCACTAAATTTGCTTGGCTGAGCATTTTTGTGCGTAAAGGGAGATCTAAAGAACCAAGCACCGGCAGTCTATTTCGAAACCCTAGTTATGAATTTCGAACTGGTGGGTTCTAGCAACGATAGCGGAAAACTAGACTTACGAATGTGGCGGTTTTAATAAAACTACTTTATAAAAGTTTAATGAGTGAAGTTAGTGATAAGTCGTTAGATAACGCTGTAAAAGTAATCTTGATACTGTGTTTAATGCAGGGCTCGATAAAAATACACTTTCACGTAAAAGAGCCCATTGTCCGCTCAGAAGTGACTTCCGATATGAGGTTCTACGGACACGTCAATTGAGTGGAAGCTTGGTCACCGATTTAGTTCTCCAGCTTGGTATCTTCCCGAATAATATCCCTCGATATTGTGACAAGCTGAACGATCGAGCAAGCATGGTATTAGGCCACATCCCGTGCGTATTTTTACCGAGCATAGTTATTTACAGCATATGTATGTTGGTATCTAAAAGTGTATGGGCACGCAGGAAAAATTGCTGCATATTATTGCGACCGGTACTGTTAATAATATTTAAACGATCGCGGGCAGCACCCAGTAACTGTCAGATGAATAAAGATCACTTGGAAAAACAGCCGAAAACGCCTGGTTCTTTTACCTATTTAAAACTACTATGCCTTCATTGTAGAACCATTGTGGTCTGGCTACCATAAAAGCTAATTCATCATGAGTGCGTGGCAAAGAAATAAAAATAAGAACGCTAGGTTGAGTATGCGACAATAAAGAGGGCCGTATGGAACAGACTCACCAAGACTCGTTCTCAAATAGTTCGCTAATTCATCATGAGTGCGTGGCAAAGAAATAAAAATAAGAACGCTAGGTTGAGTATGCGACAATAAAGAGGGCCGTATGGAACAGACTCACCAAGACTCGTTCTCTTTAAAATAGTTCGTCGTTGGCCTACGTCAGCGAATAAATAATAATCCAGGTATGTTTGTCGAGGGGTCTTCCTTTGAACAGTCCTCACATTCAATAAAATCCGAAGGTACTCCGAAGTATTTGCTACCGGACTAAGTACATGGAACTCACCAATGACCGCTGCAGGCGTGAGCAAAATCAGAAGAGGGGGTCGAAACTCGTGACCATGTTTGTATTGTGTATAAAAGTAAAATAGCGCTTTTTGCAGTTTTTCGTATTCAAACAAAACCGATTATGTAATTGACGTAATTGAAGCAAAAGAATGTTGCATCACCACATGATTAGCATCACACCAGAACAAGTATACAAGCACCCGGCCTCCTGCTCGAGGACGAACCCACTTTGCATACAGAAATGACCAAGAAAAGTGCACTCAGATTTCAGGACATCGCTTTGAGATGGTTCTCTGTCTATATCGATTGGCTCTTGTTACATTCCGCCCTAAACTACCCTCCTCAGATCTCGAAACGCACTAATGTGCCAGTAAACTGAGCCCGCCTTCTGTTTATCAGCTGGCCAGTTTGATAGACTGTTTATCTAATGTCTGGTTGCTGTACTTGTCAAGCTCGTTGTGTGCGGAGGGCCAGGTATATCCAGAAGCCACTGCATTGGTGTACTCGCAACAGACACATGGTTCATGAACTAGAGAAATATCCCAGCGGGCTCATCTGAAAAAGCGGGCTGTTTGAATTTTCGTCACGCTCTTGTGCTTCAGCCCTGTAGACTGTAGTTCGTGTCATTTTGGTCGATTTGCATGTAGGTATTTATGATGTACAACTTTTATTACTGGGATAGGGTTCGTTAATTTGATTTACATGTTCAATCCATTGAGCTCTTAATGAATGCCTACCTTCGGAGAATCCTTTTCCCCTGCCGCTTCCAGAGTGCATACTACATATCTGACGGCCGCGCCAAAATAGTTACCACGCATTGATTGTTCTAACACAAAGGTCCTTTCTCTACACATTTGCACACAGGTCATAGAGCCTCCACGGCGATAATGCACCGGTGGCGTCGTTCTTCAAAAAGGGGACCAGTGTAAAATACAGGGCCTCCATCTTGGTTGGTTTATATGTAATATTTGGTGATACACAACCCTGCATACCATGGCTAATGTGCTTTCTGTTTTCATTGCAGAAATCGTCGTGAACACCTGTCTTCGGAGAATCGCTCTCTTGGTGCTTCCGTAGTGTGCATACCATAATTCTGATGTCGGTCGGTGGGGCATCACCACTTTGCCCAGTTTGTCACAGCCGTGGAGTTTATAGTATATTGATGTCGCTTGAATGCCGCAACGGGATGATAAAAAACCTGTGTTCATCGACGGCCTGTTCCTATCCCTTCTCAAGATATGAATCGACAAAAATTTCAGGTATGTATATCCGATCATCTTTTCTATAGTATGTAGTTTCAAAAGTTGCAGTCGCTACAGAAGAAGTTGACAATCCGCACTGTCTCGACGACTTCCTGAATGAAATCCTTGGGACATCGTCAGATAACCACGAACTTACCACTGCTATCTCGACCCCTATTACCCAACCGCATTTTTCGGCACCGGATTTCATCAACAATTTGGATTCTCGATCTGAGTTATCTGGAGGTACCAGCTACAAGTGCTCTTCCTCGCTGTTCTCAACCAATCATTGCGGGCCGGATTCTGTACGTGGGAAAAATTGCCTCCTTCCACGCTACCTTGTCGACAACCTAACGCTTGGTGAGTTTGTCTTCGACGGCCGCGTTCAATTCATAACTGTCGCTTCAGCCTGTTTACAACGTTGCACTGGTAATACTTCACAAACACCACATGCTTCATCCCCATAAGTGTCCTTCTGAATCAAAGCTACTTCCATCATAAGGACTGCTTTTAAATCTCCAGTGGTCTTCACTGGTCTAGTGGAGAAGCCAGACATAGGTGACACCCGTAGTTCTTTTCTTTTTCGTCCACGATTATGTAGAAACTAAACCCTCTACTGTTGACTTGTTGGTAATGGACTTGGTAATGAACTTTTGTAGCACAAGGATTACGAGGGCTTATCTCAGAAACGCTTTCTGACATCTATGTCACTGTGCCCAATGGTCACGTGGTTATATGCGGTATAGCGGCAAAATAAACTGTTCAGCTGTAACATTCTTTCGGTGTCTAGCTGCCATGTTACCCGAGGGAAGGTTGCCCAAGGTTAGAACAGAGGAAGTGGAGAGGCAGAGAGAGGTTCGAACAATTCGGTCGGTGGGGCATCACCACTTTGCCCAGTTTGTCACAGCCGTGGAGTTTATAGTATATTGATGTCGCTTGAATGCCGCAACGGGATGATAAAAAACCTGTGTTCATCGACGGCCTGTTCCTATCCCTTCTCAAGATATGAATCGACAAAAATTTCAGGTATGTATATCCGATCATCTTTTCTATAGTATGTAGTTTCAAAAGTTGCAGTCGCTACAGAAGAAGTTGACAATCCGCACTGTCTCGACGACTTCCTGAATGAAATCCTTGGGACATCGTCAGATAACCACGAACTTACCACTGCTATCTCGACCCCTATTACCCAACCGCATTTTTCGGCACCGGATTTCATCAACAATTTGGATTCTCGATCTGAGTTATCTGGAGGTACCAGCTACAAGTGCTCTTCCTCGCTGTTCTCAGCCAATCATTGCGGGCCGGATTCTGTACGTGGGAAAAATTGCCTCCTTCCACGCTACCTTGTCGACAACCTAACGCTTGGTGAGTTTGTCTTCGACGGCCGCGTTCAATTCATAACTGTCGCTTCAGCCTGTTTACAACGTTGCACTGGTAATACTTCACAAACACCACATGCTTCATCCCCATAAGTGTCCTTCTGAATCAAAGCTACTTCCATCATAAGGACTGCTTTTAAATCTCCAGTGGTCTTCACTGGTCTAGTGGAGAAGCCAGACATAGGTGACACCCGTAGTTCTTTTCTTTTTCGTCCACGATTATGTAGAAACTAAACCCTCTACTGTTGACTTGTTGGTAATGGACTTGGTAATGAACTTTTGTAGCACAAGGATTACGAGGGCTTATCTCAGAAACGCTTTCTGACATCTATGTCACTGTGCCCAATGGTCACGTGGTTATATGCGGTATAGCGGCAAAATAAACTGTTCAGCTGTAACATTCTTTCGGTGTCTAGCTGCCATGTTACCCGAGGGAAGGTTGCCCAAGGTTAGAACAGAGGAAGTGGAGAGGCAGAGAGAGGTTCGAACAATGGACCTTCCGGTCAGCAAACTCGCGCTCTAACCACTCTAAGCCCTGAGTGATATACGTGTTAAATAGTTCATCCTTGTAATTATGCTGCATGGTTGGATACAACCACTACCAAGTTGATCAGTGGATAGAGGTCCGATGAACAGTCTTCTGAATACAGGTAGGGTTTTGGAAATTGCGTGGCGACCTCTTGAAACGACTTGTACTGCTAGTCATACACTCCCCTATAATCAGCTTTGTCAATCAAAGAGTTCGGCTGAGAGCCTGCCTACAACCCTGAACCTCAGCCAAAAACACTGCCACACCACATCGGCCCCCTTGTGGTACCATCAACACAGTGGGTAAGAGAGAACCCGCTACTTATGTCGCCTCCTCTCAGACACTTTCACATGCTCCCTGTTCTGCTCAATGCAGGTCCCAGCACCAGTACTATTCGCCTTTTTCGCTTCGCACCACGCTTGACTCCACCTTCTGTGCGCCCATCTTCAGTAGTAGATTTTAAACCTCGAATGATTTTTAAGCCCCAAAACCTACCCTTATTGTTTGCACATTGAAGCAAGCAGAACAATAAGCGGCTTTTGCTCGTACGTTAGATTCCTTCTATTGATGTAAACTGTCTGAAACAACTCTGGGACGCGGGTACTGTAATTGCACTAATTGCCCCCTCGGTCTCTTTCCAATTCTTGCTGCATACTTTTAGTAACGCGAGGTCTGCCGCATTTGGGTATTCCGAGTGGGTGTCAAGCCGAGGCGTCTCCGCTTTGTTGGGAACTCGTTACTAGTTTCTGCGTGGTCCGTTTGGCAACACCTGTTGAAAAATCTTGCGCCACAGACCCATTGCTCCCCGTTCAGTTTGTCCGCTTACGCCCGGATAGACTAGTTCTGAACCTGCCAATCGTCCTTGATATCAATACAAGAGAAGAACACTGCTACTTCGCTGTCTTACGACCACGTCAACTTATTTAAACAAAGCCCCATAATAGAGAGAAAAATAGAGCAATGAGAGGGACCCAGACCTAGCCTGCCCCAAACATCCGAGATGCCTACACCTCCCGTGCTCAGTCAGGCAAGCTAGATGGAAAATGACGACATGAGCGCCACTGATACCGATTGGCCATCATATAGTTCAGTGTCTTCAGCGAAGCACGGCGGGTCACGTGGACCCTATCCTGGAAGACGGACAACACCAGTGGCCCCCAAACTTCTCATACCATCCTTCAGCTACGTGAAGTTCTGTCCACCTCTAGGTTATCGTCGCTCCGAATTAGACATGGGAGACAGCGCTCGCCTTGACAGGCGGTAACTCGTCGTGCATAACATAAGCCTACTACCTTAGCTTGCAATACTGAGTGAATTCTTTGATTTAAGTACCCTCTGCTTCACGAAAACCTGTCTCCTGATCACCTCATCGCTAAGTACAAACCGATTTCAGCGATACTTCTGGGACATTGCTGGTCAAATACCTGAAGATGTCTGAAATCCTTCGCCCGAATTTGCTGTGCAACTATGCATCCCTTGCTGTAGTATGACATGTGCCCTTTGAGACCCAGTGAGATGCCTTTTTGATGTTACAGGTTGCTATTTGACAAACGCAATTTCGAGACCCATGTGTTTATTTCGTTTCGACCCCTGCATCTCGATTTCCCCCGTCTAGGCTTGGGAAAGTTGGCAGTATCGCAGCCCTCGTACTCCGGTTAGCATGGCTGGTAGGCACCTGAAAGGTGTTGTATTTGAAAGGTTTTTCCCCTGTTCTTCCGTCACACTTGCGTCAGAACTGACGCAACTTCCAAGATACGTGTAGTGTTCCACAACCTTCAGTGTCACTTGAACTCTCAGAGTTATTTTCAAAGACTGTACGTCCTGTCGAGTGACTTTAACTGAATGTTTGAGAAGAGTGGGTGGCAGCTCTTCGGGACTAGGAACTCGGTGACTCATGGAGGACAAAAGCAATAGCTTATTTCCGAAGCCACTGGGATTTCAAGTTCATTCTCCAGGGCTGTGTTACCGATTGGAAATCCGGCCGTGCAATTGCAGGTGGCCAGATGAATCACTCTTGGAAGTGTTCAGTTCAGTGATTCAGGTGCTCTTTTTCACAAATAAGCGTCGTTTTTATCAGTTATTGTTCGGTCACCGGGGGCGCTTATCCCTTCGTGCGTATCAACTGGAACAGTTGACGCACAGTGCCAGAGATCCTCACCTACATCTCTTGAACTTTCGGGATCCACGAAGCTCCTCGATCTACCCATAACCTCTTTTTCATCTGAAGCCCGACACTTCTTTGAGTGGTATTGTACCACTGACCGGCAGGAATACGTGTCCGAGCTTGAGATCTAGGTCTAGTTGGTTGGACCATTCCACAAGCGAAGCGCCCAGCATCTTGGGGTTGCGGGCAGTATCTTCCAGTGAGAGTCAACACCGGAAGACTTGTCTTTCGAAAGGGACTTCATTAGGCGGTTCTGGTAGACCTATCTCGCATCAGTGTCCGAGAGCCCCAGTGGTCACACGAATTGTGCGCATCATGCGCGCTCCTAAAAAGCGCAACGAACAAGCGCATGATGCGATTCCGCATTGGTGTTTCTGGACGAGCTGTTGCTAATGGCGATGTGCTCTGTCTGTGTTCTCAGGTTGGTTTGAGTGCGGGGACGCCATGTATCCAAATGGCTTCGGTTGTTTCAGAGGTCGGCACCGCATAGAAGTGGACCGTAGCCCATAATTTCATCAAGTGTTCGCCGTTGTCCGCGCTTCTCAACCCGTCTCAGGATACCACTCAATTGAACCTCAGCAGCGCTAAGTCTAGCTCTTCATCATCATCGACAGTATGACATGTGTCCAACCTATTTGTGTATTCATACCCCGGGCAACCACAACAATATCTGAGCTCCTACCCTGCCGCAACAAGACATCCAAAATGTCTTCAAAAACTGTTTTAGGTTTGTCAGAGCTATATTCTGTTGGAGCGTAAGTAGGTACGGTGAACAGGCGCCGGTCGTCGGTGCGTTTATGGGATACTCACAAACGTTGGTAAAGAGTATACGGAGACAACTAGCAACTATTCAACAGAAAGCCTTCAGCTTGGTGGCTTAGCACAATACCCATCCCAGCAGCAGCGGCTTCTGAATCACCAGAAGTGCGTATTCAGAAGCGATTGGAGACCGACAGGTCAGTCCAAAAAATTGTATTTGGGTCTTGAATCCTCGTTTTAGACGGGTAGCGCAGCACTAGCAAGCTAGTCCAGCTCGTTTCAGACTGAGAACGATTAAGACTGCCAGTTTAACTGAAAAAAATCGTCCAGCTGTAGCACCCTTTCGGTGCCTAACTGCCATGCCACCCAAAGGTTGCACAAGGGCCGGGATACTGCCAGGTTGCCCAAGCCTAGACAGGGGAGTCGAGAGGCAGAGGTTGGGTTCGAACCACGGACCCTCCGGTCAGTAAATTAGCGCTCTAACCACTTGGGCCATCTCAACCCCCAGCTGAACTGAAAGTCGGGGTTTGAAGAATGATTGCAAAGTGTCAGCCGAGTTAACACTAGATATTTCGCCCAGCGGGAATGAGCGATGGGCGGATCTGTTTGTAAGAATGAATCTAGGGATATGTCGCTGGTAGCAGGTTGAGGAGGACGAATATGTCAGAAAAGAGGGGAGGCCCCAGTAGCATTCCGTTTTCGCTTACCCGCTCCGTCGTATCATCAATCGAGGTGACATCGTCAGTGCGACTATATTACTTCGATTGATGATGAAACACGTGAAATCCAACACACAAGCTCGGCGAACTGAAAAATAACCGACCGGAAGAATTAAAGCTTTACCAGTTGACCAAGTCGGTGTAAGAGGCTCTGATTGTCACTAATATATGGAGGTTCACAAAACCTCACACCATGGTAAGTTCTAGTCTCCTCATGACGGAAAAGACAGTTTTTATGACGCTTTAGGTAATCTTTTGCAACGGACTGAAAGCTCCGACCTCGTGGTTGCTGGTGACATTACCGTTCAGGTAGGTAGACTAAGCACTACTGAGGCCCAATGGGGTAGTCGTCTTTGTTTGGCCACGAGACGGACCAACCTCGGACACAGACCACAACCCATCAGTTGCCGGTGGCGAGGGTCGATCAATGCCTGCCCCTCCTTGTGAACTACTTGCGTAAACTTCGACCAGCCATCTGGCCGCTGTTTTCATTGTCTTCCAGGTTGGTGCATAAGTACGCACACCGCTTGGTCGGTGGCAAGCTCAAACTAATGTATCATAATCCACTTCCCCACCGCTTGCCTGCTGCTCCTCTTTAGGCCACCAACCGTCGCTGGAGCGGTATATTCGAAGCTGTACGTGATCACGAGATTTCTACCTGCGGTACAGTCTCTTCCAATTGTTGGATCTTTGATAGGCCT